CATGGAAGGAGAGGTCAGCGCGCCTGCCGCTGAGATCCAGGCTCCCGGTTTGGACCTCGACATTGCCAGCAAAGAGGAGGAGAAGGGGAAAATGAAGATGCCAAGCATGACGCTTCCCAAGGTAAAGATGCCACATGTGCAGATCAGCCTGCCGAAGGCCGAGGCTGATGTTTCAATTCTCGACACCCAAGCTGAAATGAAAGGCAGAGACATAGCAGTGAAGGTCCCAGCTGCAGAAGGCAGCATCGACATGCCTGCTTGCAAAGCCGAGGGCACGGGGATGAAAATCCACATGCCAAAAGTCAAGATGCCTAGTATGGGATTCTCCAAACCCGACATCAAAGCTCCCAAACTCGACGTGGACGTCACCTTCCCCAAAGTCGACGTCACCCTGCCCACCTGCGAGGTCAGACTTCCCCAAGCGGACCTGAAGGCAGGCCCTGTGGTCAGCGACATCAGCATCACCACGCCAGATGTGAAGGATCCTGCACTGGAAGGCAGCCTGGATGTGAAGATGCCCCAGATTGATGCCGAAGCGCCATCTGCCCAGATTGCAGTGGGCGGTGCCGCACTGGACACCGGGAGCTTGAAAGGGAAGATTAAGAAGCCAAAATTTGACAAACCAAAGTTTGGAGTTTCCCTCCCCAAAGAGCACATGCCAGAAGGCAAGATCAGCCTGCCTATGGTGGAAAGGGATCTTCCCCAGGCCAAAGTGACAGCCGAGGGGGCGGTCGTGTCACTGGAGACCCCGAAGGTCCAGGTGAAAGCCAAAGTGCCAGACACCGAAGCCGACGTCTCCAGCTGGAAAGTGGAAATGCCATCCCTGAAAATGCCGAAAATGCCAAAAGCTGACCTCAAAGACCCAAAGCTGGACGTTAGCCTGCCATCTGTGGATGTCAGTCTGCCAAAAGTCGATGTGGAGGTTGGAGGGCTGGAAGTTGCTGCTGGGAAGATGGAGGTCAAAGGTGAAATCAAAGCAGGCGAGAAAGAGGCCAAAGTTAAAGACAGCAAGTTCAAAATGCCCAAATTCGGCATGCCTTCCTTTGGGTGGTCCACTTCCAAAGAGGCCCAGATGGGAGCAGCCGATGTGGAGGTGAGCCTCACTGGGCCACAGGTGACCTTGCCGGCAGCCAGCATGGAAGGAGAGGTCAGCGCGCCTGCCGCTGAGATCCAGGCTCCCGGTTTGGACCTCGACATTGCCAGCAAAGAGGAGGAGAAGGGGAAAATGAAGATGCCAAGCATGACGCTTCCCAAGGTAAAGATGCCACATGTGCAGATCAGCCTGCCGAAGGCCGAGGCTGATGTTTCAATTCTCGACACCCAAGCTGAAATGAAAGGCAGAGACATAGCAGTGAAGGTCCCAGCTGCAGAAGGCAGCATCGACATGCCTGCTTGCAAAGCCGAGGGCACGGGGATGAAAATCCACATGCCAAAAGTCAAGATGCCTAGTATGGGATTCTCCAAACCCGACATCAAAGCGCCCAAACTCGACATGGACGTCACCTTCCCCAAAGTCGATGTCACCCTGCCCACCTGCGAGGTGAGCCTTCCCCAAGCGGACCTGAAGGCAGGTCCTGTGGTCGGCGACATCAGCATCACCACAGCGGTTGTGAAAGCTCCTGCACTGGAAGGCAGCCTGGATGTGAAGACGCCCCAGATTGATGCCGAAGCGCCATCTGCCCAGATTGCATTGGGCGGTGCCGAGCTGGACACCGGTGGCTTGAAAGGGAAAATTAAGAAGCCAAAATTTGACAAGCCAAAGTTTGGAGTTTCCCTCCCCAAAGAGCACCTGCTAGAAGGCAAGATCAGCCTGCCTATGGTGGAAAGGGATCTTCCCCAGGCCAAAGTGACAGCTGAGGGGGCGGTCGTGTCGCTGGAGACTCCCGAGGTCCAGGTGAAAGCTGAGGTGCCAGACACCAAAGCCGACGTCTCCAGCTGGAAAGTGCAAATGCCATCCCTGAAAATGCCCAAAATGCCAAAAGCTGACCTCAAAGACCCAAAGCTGGACGTTAGCCTGCCATCTGTGGATGTCAGTCTGCCAAAAGTCGATGTGGAGGTTGGAGGGCTGGAAGTTGCTGCTGGGAAGATGGAGGTCAAAGGTGAAATCAAAGCAGGCGAGAAAGAGGCCAAAGTTAAAGACAGCAAGTTCAAAATGCCCAAATTCGGCATGCCTTCCTTTGGGTGGTCCAGCTCCAAGGAGGCCTGGGTGGGAGCAGCCGATGTGGAGGTGAGCCTCACCGGGTCCCAGGTGACCTTGCCAGTAGCCAGCGTGGAAGGAGAGGTCAGCGCACCTGCCGCTGAGATCCAGGCTCCCGGTGTGGACCGCGACATTGGGGTGTCTGCCAGCAAAGAGGGGGAGAAGGGGAAAATGAAGATGCCAAGCATGTCGCTTCCCAAGGTGAAGATGCCACACATGAAGGTCAGCCTGCCAAAGGCTGAGGTTGATGTTTCACTTCCCGACACCCAAGCTGAAATGAAAGGGGGAGACTTAGCAGTGAAGGTCCCAGCTGCTGAAGGCAGCATCGACATGCCTCCAGGCAAAGCCGAGGGCACGGGAATGAAAATGCACATGCCAAAAGTCAAGATGTCTAGTATGGGATTCTCCAAACCCGACATCAAAGCACCCAAACTCGACTTGGACGTCACCTTACCCAAACTCGATGTCACCCTGCCCAGCTGCGAGGTCAGCCTTCCCCAAGCGGACCTGAAGGCGGGCCCCGTGCACGGCGATATCAGTATCACCACGCCAGATATGAAGGCTCCTGCACCGGAAGGCAGCCTGGATGTGAAGACACCCCAGTTTGATGCCGAAGCGCCATCTACCCAGATTGCATTGGGCGGTGCCGAGCTGGACACCGGGGGCCTGAAAGGGAAGATAAAGAAGCCAAAATTTGACAAGCCAAAGTTTGGAGTTTCCCTTCCCAAAGAGCCTGTGCCAGAAGGCAAGTTCAGCCTGCCTATGGTGGAAGAGGACCTTCCCCATTCCAAAGTGACAGCTGAGGGGGCGGTCGTGTCACTGGAGACCCCCAAGGTCCAGGTGAAAGCCGAGGTGCCAGACACCGAAGCCGACATCTCCAGCTGGAAAGTGCAAATGCCATCCCTGAAAATGCCCAAAATTCCAAAAGCTGACCTCAAAGGCCCAAAGATGGATGTCAACCTGCCAAAGGTTGAGGTGGAGGTTGGAGTGTTGGAAGTTGTTGCTGGGAAGATGGAGGTCAAAGGTGAAATCAAAGCAGGCAAGAAGGAGGCCAAAGGCAAAGACAGCAAGTTCAAAATGCCCAAATTCGGCATGCCTTCCTTTGGGTGGTCCACTTCCAAAGAGGCCCAGATTGGAGCAGCCGATGTGGAGGTGAGCCTCACCGGGCCCCAGGTGACCTTGCCGGCAGCCTGCGTGGAAGGG